TACTAAGGTCCAGCCATCTGGGACCTCCCTGATTAGCCAGGACTGCTGATAAACGATTGAAAGTGGCTTGGTGAGCACTTCTGCCAGCTCCTTCAGTATCCTCGGGTGGATCCCATCTGGCCCCATAGACTAGTGTGTGTCTATGTGCTGTAGCAGGTCCCTCACCATTTCCCCTTGGATTATGGGGGTTTCATTCTGCTCCCCATCCCTGTCTTCCAGCTCAGGGGTCTTGAGTACCTGGAAAACAACTGGTCTTACTATTAAAGCCTGAGGCAAAGAAGGCATTAAGTACCTCAGCTTTTTCTTCATCCTTTGTCACTGTTTCTTGAAGGCTTTAGTAAAGTCCAGGTAAACAACATCCACAGCCTTTCCCTTATCCAAGAAGCAGGTCACCTTGTCATAGAAAGAGAGCTGTTTTGTCAAGCAGGACTTGCCTTTCATGGACCCATACTGACTGGGCCTGATCCCCTGGTTGTCCTACGTGCCATATGATGGCACCTAGGATGGTCTGCTCCATAACTTTCCCCGCCACCAAGGTCAGACTGACAGGCCTGTAGCTCCCCGGATCCTCCTTTCAGCCCTTCTGTGGATCGGCGTCACATTTACTAAGGTCCAGCCATCTGGGACCTCCCTGATTAGCCAGGACTGCTGATAAACGATTGAAAGTGGCTTGGTGAGCACTTCTGCCAGCTCCTTCAGTATCCTCGGGTGGATCCCATCTGGCCCCATAGACTAGTGTGTGTCTATGTGCTGTAGCAGGTCCCTCACCATTTCCCCTTGGATTATGGGGGTTTCATTCTGCTCCCCATCCCTGTCTTCCAGCTCAGGGGTCTTGAGTACCTGGAAAACAACTGGTCTTACTATTAAAGCCTGAGGCAAAGAAGGCATTAAGTACCTCAGCTTTTTCTTCATCCTTTGTCACTGTTTCCTCATGCATCCATTAAAGGATGGAGATTCTCCTTAGCCCTCCTTTTGTTGTTAATGTATTTACAGAAACATTTTTTATTGTCTTTTACGGTAGTAGACAGATGGAGCCAAGTGTTTCACAGTGCTGCATGGTGGGAGGATGAGAGGCAGCAGACATAAATTGAAATAAGATTGGTTTAGACAGGATATGAGGAAAACCTTTACCATCTATGGGGTCAATCAGGCAGTGGAGCAAGTTGTCCAAAGAAGTCCCACCTCCATTCATGAAGGAAGTGACTGGATAAAGCCCTGAGTATCATGGTCTGACCTCAGAGCTGGCCATGCTTTGAGAAGGAGGTTGACCAGAGACTTCTGAGGTCCTTCTCACCCGAATTATACTGTAATTCAAAGATCGCCCACAGAGTAGCATTAAATATCACATAGTATTAGTCTCATAGATCCTCATTAAAATTGTTCACATTTACCATTAAACCGGTTAGCATGAAGACTAAACTTCATCACCTGTAATAGCAATAGCTGATGGTGAGATCTGTAGCTCGGGCTCATTTCATATACTCTTTGCTATTGTGTAGGGACACTAGAGCACATTCATGCTCTTGTTTTTTGCCTTCTGTCTCCTAGCAACTCCATCTGCTGCCTTATTTCGTATGTTGGAAGTACAAGTCAGATTTTGGTTTTTTTTATTTAGGGAAAAGCTGCTCCTTCCCTGCTTCCAACGTAGCTGAACACATAGTTTTATATATAACATGCTGGAATCCCTTTTGCACAAGTGAAGTTCATTTCATCCTGCACTTTGTCATGACCAGACCCTCTTTTCCACAGATCTAGGCCAGTCCTTTACCCATGGGTTCTTGGCCACATGGGAATTTCAGTGACTATTAATATTGTCATTTCTCTCCAAGACTCACTAATCCACCTTTGTTTTGAGGGAATGTTTCTGTTGTTTTTTACCCCTATTGTTTGGTCTTTCATGAGCTATAATTAGACATTCTCTGGCAACCATAATTCTCACAAATCTCTATTACTCATTCCCCAGCACATGACATCTTTTCTTGCCAATATTTGTGGAGCACGCTGTGAACTGAGTGGCACTGAGAAGTACGTAATAAAAAGTGCTTACCCTATACATGCCTGTCAGTTACACACACGTTAAATTTAACTCGTCCAGCTCCACTGCGATATTTGTATCCTTGACTACAAGCAATTCACCACCACAGCAACAAAATCTCTTATCCATCCAGTGGACAGAACATCACAGTATGGGGTGATGGGTAAAAAAAGGAGGGAAAAATCAGTCTGCACTTGGAGGATGTGAGAATGCCTCAAGAGAACACCAAAATATTATGAAACATTTCACCTTTCTTGAAATATTTAATTATTTATATGTGGAAGGGTGACTTTTATCTACAAAGTAACACACTGAACCCTAAGCCTTCTTTGTAGCCTACAGAAAAATCATTATTAATTTCAAGTATTTTAAATAGAATTGCAGAGGAACCTTTTGTTTTAGAGGTCACTGGTTCCTTAGTCTGAGTATTCCCACCTTCAATATCTTCAGTCCTTTCCATAGCGTGTAATTTGTGTGTAATTTAGTTGTCTCTCCAAAGCTCCCTCATTGATCTCTAACTGCTTCAGGCGTGTCTCTGCTGATATCAGCAAGAAATACTGTTGGGCTGCTCATTTCTGGAATGGAGTTTTGCCTAAAATTTGAAAAGATGGATCGAGAAGAAAAAATTGTCTGCCTTTATTGCATGCAGGTTGGATTGTACCCTAAAACAGAATCTGAAACAGGAAAGTAGCAAGTGCAACAGCTAGAAAAAAATTTTTTTTGGTGAACATTTATAAATTTTCAGCTTTATAAATCATTGTTTCTAGAACTCTCTCTCTTGAGCTATAGGACTGAGTTGTGACACTGAAGGCAAATTGGTGTATGGATTCTAGCGGTTTTAGAACAGATTAAAAGAAAATGTAAACATCAAAGTGCATAATGATATAGGAAACTTCCTTTATATGGCATACAAGCAGTTTAGCTGTAGTCCAGCCAAAGATTTATTTTGACTTCTTTATATATGACTCCTTAGAAGAAAGGGTGAGTTCCAAGAAAACCCACATACTAATGGCATCCAAAAATTTTATTTTAAAAAAATTCCTAAGCAACAGCTAATGGCCAATGATTAACAGTACAGCTGATCACTGGGTTGGTATATAGGTGATGTAGTCAACTATAAAAACCCACCTCATTCCAAAATTCCCATATGGAGACAAGCTATAATATAGCCAATTGACCCACGTGTCTTCTTGGGGTCCATTGAGGCTGTCACAAACAGAACCAATAATCCCCTAATTTAACAGAGCAAAATTATGACAATGAGTTAATCCTCCCCAAGTGCTTTGCTGATGAGACAGTAAGAACTAGAAAACAAGCATGGAATGTGCTGGCTGTTTGTGTTTACTCTTTTTGTAGTTGCCACTGGCAACCAGACAATTAACACATTAAAAAATATAATAAAATATATATTGATTTTAATTGACAAAGAATGCATCATTTTGAAAGTAAACAAACCTAGCAGGAAAAAAGATATAATGAAAAATATGACCTTTTTAAGATTTCTTTTTTAATTTGCACAGCTGCGGTCTTCTATCATAGTGAACTAAAAGAACAGTAAATACTAGGCAGCTGACACTTAAATCATTATATATCTTCTAGCTTTCAGCTCAGCATCTGCTGCATCATTTCTCAGACTTCCAAGTGTCTGGGAAGACAGACCAAGGATAAGAAAAATGCATCTTTTCAGCTGAAAGCATATATTTTTCAATGACAAAGGACTACAGGCCATATTCCATTACTATTACACAATAGAAGGGCGCTCTGAAACTCTCATTTTAATTTGAAGAAAAAGCTACCTTTACAATAGCAATTTGGAGGGGGGGTGGGGTGGTTACAGGAAAAAGCAAGTTGACTAAAACCTGTCAAGTTTTCATGTTCAGTGAAAACGAACATGTCCATTTTTTCCAAAAGAAGTAAGGTAGTGCAGACAAGCTGTTTCCGAGTCAGAAAACACCCCCAGGTACCTCCAGAAACCAGTTCAGGGAAGCAATTGTCTTTCCTGTGCTGCACTGATTTTCGGTGCTAGAGGACATTTCTGATTTCAAGGATTTCCTCCTTAAAATGAAAGGGCCTGATTCTTCTCTTACCCCTATGCAAATCAGGGGAGAAAGACAACAGAGTAATACCAGCATTAAAGAAAAGAGGATAAGACACAAGAGCTTGAATATCGCTTTATTTATCATCCCTTTCATTAAAAGGAATTAGAGTTAATTAGCTCAGCTTGTAGCAAAATTAGATATTCCATGCATATCCTACTTAATCTCTCTAATATCTTTTTCTAGGTTTTCTCTGTATTTGTCAGAGCTTCTGTAAAGGAGCACGTTAGATGACTTCAGCCCACATCATTAGAAAAATCAATATGTTTTAGTTTAGAATCAGATCAAAAGCCTGTAGCTCCAAAAAATCAGAACTGTAAAGCCTTATTTAAAGCCTTCCCTCTGCTAGGGGAAGTTACACATTTTTCAAAGCATTTTTCAGAAGCCTCCATAGCATATTTTAAAAAGACTGAAGAGCTGAAATCCTATGGAAGCCACACTGCTAGCCACTAGACCCTGGCTGCCCACACTGCCTAAGCGGTGCCTACTCCCTGCCTCTATTTCTAATGGTTTTAGCCAAAACCACTTTGCCACAGAGAGAGCTAACCCTAAGTAGTATGGGTTTCAGCCAGTCTGTGCCATTTGACCCCAAGGCCAGCAATAAATCCCCAGATCTCCAGCAATCGGTACTTCACAAACAGACATATTCAGAGACTAGAATTTAGAGACTGGGACAGGACGAAGTGCTGTAATATATTCCTTTCCTACACAAGTGCTCATGGGCTCACACCATGGGCATGCACTAGTACGATGTGGTCAGAGCACCAGTTTTCATGGAGTTTTAGGAAAAAATGATGACGTTAGTGAGGCAAAAGAATGGGGATGTTTTTTCTTCCTCCAAACCACCCGCTGAAGAATGAGAGTGATACCTTTGTCTGGCTGTTCCTCCAGCCACACAAGGAGAGGTTGGGTCACAGCTGGAGCAGGTACCTCTCTCCGGTCAGAATTCATCACTGGGAAGCATTTGCTGATTCCTACAAATGAAAAGGATGTCTCAAAAGTAATTCCTGTTTCTTAAAATACAGCTGGAGGGTAGTGAAGCTGTGTCAGGTGACGCTGGCTGCATTCTCCACGTTCCTCAAAACCATTTCCATTTTTCAGACGGTAAGAAGGCTGTCCTGAAAAAAGGGAATACCTTCAATCTTTCACACTGAATCTTTTCTACCTTGAATAAAATGATTAAAATGTGACAGGGAGTGGCAGCCACCACAAGAATAAAGCCTGGTCATTACAGGCCAATTACATTAATTGCCCTGGATCCTAGTTTAATGAAAGTACTTCATAGAAGCCAGGGTTAAATTACTGTCTTTTTTAAGATGCCTTCCCCCCCGCCCTTTATTTCTTACTGACTAGCTGCAGTAGCTCTTTATTTGGCTTGCTGGGGTTTTATGTTCCCCATTCATAAGCCCTAATTCTACAAACTCATGCAGATGTACATGCACACACAAACACATACACACATAAATACCTCTGCTGGTGTGCATGGTAGTCTCACCCCATAGCTCTACAGAGGGATTGCATGAGGTAGAGCAATGTCCTTGCAAGGCACGTCTTGTAACAGCACATTTTTCTGTGAATCTAGCCCTGGTGTAGGAAGCTAGTTAGGTGTTTGCAAAATGTTAGTCATGTTGCCTGGTTACAACACACAATATTTAAGAGCTTAGACACAATAGACCTAAGTAACCTGGTGCAAGAAATCATCTAAAAAGAAAATCCAGTCCAGCCTACAACAGAACCCCTGTTCTGAATCAGTACAGACTAAATTCTACAGAAGGTGGTATTTTCGTCATTAACTTCAATAAAACAAGGTTTTCATATTACAGCCTTGTTGACAATTCATCAGCTTGAAAAGGAAACATGAAAACTCCTCTCTGAAAAAGGTTAATTTGCACATTGATTTCAAAACCATGAAGCACAAAGTTCTTTCCAAGAACATCTGAGTGGTTTTGCTCCCAGTGTGGCAGAGCTGGTATACAACTCCTTTTCTTATGATCTGTGTTCTGCCATTAAAAAAGACACCTGGGAATCAGAATTCACTCTTGCAGCGCTAAATAAACAGCAACAATAAGGAATCTAAGATGATCAGTTTTGACAGCTTATTTTTATAGCATTAATTTACTAGGTTTTCCTTATGAAATATCAATATACTAGGCACTTAACTGGGATGTTCATAATCATTCAAATATTGATATAAACCTCTGTCTGTTGCTATGATACTGCACTCATTTTATATTCCCATTTAGATTATAAGAACATTTGCTCTGTTGTTTACTAAAGAAAAGGCAAGACAAAAAATGGCTATTTTTATTTCTTCTCCTATTTAAGGAGAACTTAAACCGACTCATTATACCCCTCACTTTGCCTTTTGTTAGAATTACAGGGCTGGGACATCACATTGGAAATCAGCATTGGGTGTACCAACTTACTGTTTTTAACCTAATTACTATAGCATTGAAAATTAATTAAAAAATATACATATAGGTTTATATGTTGAGATATACATGTCTGATAGGGAAACAGTGTAGAAATAGTTAATGATGGTTCTAATTTCCTATTCCAGCTGTGCCCAACCTGACAATTGAAAGCAGCTGGTAGAGGGGAGAGTCATGGGGATGGCATGTGTGAAGCTTGTCTTGTAGATATTTTGTTGGCCTTGCAGATTAAGAGGGAAAAATAAAAAGGGGAAAATGACTGAGTAGGGAAGCTAAATAAGGGTCAGATGAGGTGCTGCTTTTTTTCTTCTTCTTTTTTCCCCTTTTCTTTTTTTTTACCATTTCATTTGAAATTCTTATTCTCTGGTTTGAAATAGGTTCCAGGACTGGTTCTCCTATATGCTATCCTGCAGCTATTTTTAGGCAAAACGGACTGTTTTGCCTGTTCCCAAGCTGGAGATGGAGCTGTTTAAGCTGGTAAAGTGTGTCTCTGCCCATGCAGTCTTCTGGTCCTCCTGAGGAGGAAATGTGTAGAGGACTATCTACAGCTATATGGTGGAGCTCCGGCTTTGCTGTGATTTACCTCCTTTCCTTCTTCATTGGGGTAGCCTTGTCTCTTTTGCTCTTTTCTACAGTTTGAGAAACTTGGGAGGGTGAAAAGCAGTAGACAAAATGGTTGTTCAGATCACCACAAGAATGAGAAAAGTCTGAAAGGGAGAAGTGGCCTTGGAGAGGAATGAGGGAGGCCTGCCTTTTCACAGCACCTCAACCCTCTTTTTTCTGGGTGTCTATTGTCCCTTTAGTTTCCTTAGAGCCCTACAGATATTCCCCACCCTCTCTTACCCCCGTGGGACCCCACCAGCTTTCTAGAAAGCCGCTTCTCTGCAAAAATTGTCTGCACTGCCAAAAAGGTTTGAGTTAGTTCTGGTCTTTAGCCAGAAGGGAAGTGGTGGCTTTGGAGATAAGGGAGCAAAGGGCTCCGAGTGGAGAGGTCAAGGCTGACTATATAATTGCCCAGATTATATGGTGGGCATATGCAACTCCAAATTCCCTGTTGGATGGGGATTAATCCCTGAATTACATTGACAGGAGGCAATCTGAGTGCCTGTGATAAACCCATCGAGAGGAGATCTCGTGGAGATTCTTGGAGCTTTTTGTGTAAACATAAAATTGAGTGTTTTTTCAATGAGAGTGCCAGAGAGTATGCAGAAGGACACTTAAACTACACAGGAAATAATCCTGGGGAGGGAGGACTTCTGCAGGCGTAGCAGTGCAGCCACCTGCCATATGATCTTACCTTCAGAACAAAGGTGCTGTCTGAAATGGAGAAATTTATGGTGGAACTATTCTGGCATAACAGCATTAGCAATGGGTTGTTACACTGGTCTGATTATACGCTCCTATAAATGCACTCGTGAATTTTTCTGTGCAAACAAGCCTCGTAGAGGAAAGTGCAGTATCTTTTATTGTTCCCTGATGAAAGACCGAAATGTAAAAAGAACAGCGTGCACAATCTGTCCTTTGAAAGGAAAAACAGCAGTTCTGAGTGTCCCTCTTCCTCTCAGGCAGACACAAAGGACTTGAAGGCAAACCTGTTGTGTGGCTGCTGTAGTGCTCTCTGCCCCTCGTTTTAATTAACGCATAGCACTGAGGAGGAACTAAATCCTGCTTGTTTTACCCAAGCAAGTGATCCCATTGACTTGAATTAAACTACCTGCAGGATTAGAAGTAGAAGGATTAAGACTTCAGTGTAGCAAATTCATTTCACTCTTTTTCAAATGCAAATAGCCGTCTCTCGATTGTCAGCTTGATTGTCTGTTGGTTGTGTAGCACAAAGAGGCCCTGATTCCTCTCCCCGATTGTGTCTCCCAGGCTGCTCTGTACCACAAACATACTCAGCCTCCACAGAATAATTGGGATGGAAGTGGAAAAATAGGTGCCTTAACAATTTTATACATATATATATATATATGATATTTAAATATATCTCAAAGAAGACAACTTTCTCATAGAGGCTTTGTTATATTGGTTAGTTGAATCCCTGAGCTTCCAGTTTGCAATGTGATTTTATACCTATTTTCCCTTTTACGTAGACAACCTTTTGCTCACCTCTCTCCCCTCCCTGTGATGCTGAGGGAGAGATGCTGGTACTTGATATGCAGCATGGGAAGTCTCACATTATTTTACAACTCATGCAACTGTCTTGTGAAATCACTTCATAGCTGCTCCCATTAGAACGTCTCCACCGAGTTAAATAAATTACTCAATGTTAACTCAGCTGTAACTGAGAACATATTTTGATCTGAAATGTCATTTTAATCTGTAACCTATCATTTTAACATACTTAATAGTTGTTTTAGGTGGGGGCAGCATTGGCAGGTTATTGTTGATTTTATTTAAATTATTTGAAAAATCCAGTAAAAGAGACTGTTACTATATATCAGATGTCTTATAGTGTCTTGAAACTCTGCCAAATTATTCCTAATTGTATGATGCATATCTTTTCTTTACCTTTACAGAAAGCCTGAAGCTTTCCAGAACTCCTCTTTGATCATCTATTTGATCTGGCACTAAAGCTAGGTTTTACCTTCCTGCTGAAAAAAAAAGCACATTAAGAATTCTCACTAGGTCAATGTTATAACTTCTTTAATTTTGACAAAAAATATTTAAAATTTACATTTTGTATCATCGAAAATTACTGTGAAAGGAAAACAGTGATATGATATGAGGCTATATATCATAGTAAAGGGTTGAGTTCCAAACAGAAACTAAAAAATGAAGAAAACCGAGAAAAAAAATGCAATTTAGTAGAGCACAAATAAGTGTTTAAACCATTTTTTAAGAAAACATAGTCTGTTCTTCATCATTTAGAATGTCTCAAAATTGTATTTTTAAATAACACACTTCATTATGAGCAATTCTGGCTTTGTAGCTAAGATCACTGGATGAGTGTCTAGTGCCTATATTAAAATATTCAACCTTCTGAATCTAGAAATTCTGTGAAAAATTGAGGTCATTAGAAGCAGTGCATTTTGTTTAACCCTCAGAAACCAAAGGTACTCTACAGAGGGTTTGGATATCAGGTTTACAGCTTTGTTTGCTTACTCTGATCCTCCAAAAGTCAGTACACCCAGGTATGTGTCATCTATATCTGCACAATTCTAGTTGAAGAGTAAGAACTCAAAATTTGCCACACTTGCTTGGATCAATACTTCAAGTCTTCTTTCTTGAAGCTTTAATGTTGTTGGGTCTTTTAAAGCCTTGCCAGTACAATCCTCTTGACTTTGGGTATACCGTTGTGTCATCCCAATTTGGCAGAAAGTCTCCTTTGAGTTAACAGAGCCAGTGCACCCTTTAGAAGACAGGAATCTAGGATGCCAAACCCTCATCAAGTTTAATGAAAGAATAGGAAAGAACCGATAAATTATCTGGCAACTCTGACTTAGCAGCAAGGAAGGTCCTGGAAAAAAAATTATAGGTCAATTACAAAGTCAAAAATACTACCTGTCTTAAAAACATCAGAAGCTTCTGTAAGGAAATGTAACAAATATGAAATCTGGGGTTGAGTCATGCATTTAACATATGAACCTTTAGAAAGATGTTTGACATAGTAACGCAGCAGATTAATAAATAGTCAGGTACAAATTAGACATTTGTTTTTATTCTTTATAGCTTGGACTGAAGACAGACAGTAGTTAACCACAGTTGTTACAAGGTCATGGTGCAGATGAAGACTTGCAAATAGGGTTCAGTTAAGTGAAAAATAAATTATCGTCCTGTTGAATACAACAATGTCACACATTGCTTGTTAAAACAATAACAACCTTCCTAGTAACTCTGTAAGATACTCAAGCAAGTCTTTACTGTATCACAATAAGCATTTTATAGGTAAAATGCACTGTAAATTAAACAATTCAAGTGCACTAGTTCTTTAATCATAGGATTGTTAGACACCTGGCTCAGAGGTTTAAAAAAGCCGCTGAGCTTAAACAATACTCAATATAGGCTCAGGCAATTGCCATTACAAATCTACTGCCAACCTGCATTTGATAGTAACTAAAATTTTCTCTATTGGTTCTTGAGTGACCAGCATGAAGCACATCTGACAGAGTTGTGGAGGGCACATTGGCCATGTTCTCAAACACTTAATGATTATCATAAGGTCAGAA